ACATACATACATACATACATACATACATACATACATACATACATACATACATATATATATATATATACATGTGTATGTGTGTGTAGAGGTAATGAGAGAATGAGAGAGAAAAAATAATCAGGAAAGGCTCTCATTGCGACGGTGGAATAGAGCAGGTAGAGGAGAATTGGGCAAGATTAAAAATACAGCTAAACGACCAAGAGGCAGAGGGGGAGAGGAAAATGAAAGGAATGAATGGAGAGAGATTGTGTCTAAAAATCCAAGAAAGCCCTGAATGCGTGCAATTGCCTCGTAATTCTCAAGGCATAATTCATTTGTGACCACCATATGACAGATGCTAAGCGAATTAATAGTGATGAAGAGGGAAAGCAAAGTCTCGCTGTCACCGCCATTGCATCATTTGTGCCACTTGTTTTGGGCTTGCGTCTATCATCAGGGTTCAAGTTCGTGATTCCGCTTGCTCCACATGAGCATCATTTTATAAGATCGTCCTAGGCAATACGGTCTTTTGGACATCGGGGGCACGGACAGATTCCAACTTCGGTCGCTAGGGTCACATTTAGGTGACAGAGAGAGAAAAAAAGAGATGTCCTCTTTCGACCTAGACGTTAAAAGTTGGGGCTCTGAAAAATAGCAGATATAGCTTTATTAAACGACACTGACAATTAGTTGTTCTCTGTAAATTCTTGGACCAAAAGTAAAGATGCTTTCCTTGTGAAGTATGTGGGTGGCGAAATGCTAGAAATTTTAGGAAGGCCGACGTATCAGACGAAACCTTAGCAGGTTGAAAAAGGTGGGCTCTTTAAAATATGCAGTCTAGTCTCAACTGTTTGGCCACCAATACAGGACTCTGGCGTTTTATCGTACGACCCTCCTCTTAAAGGAATAATTTTCTTCACTAATGCTCACTAAGGAGAGTCTAAAAGGCGCTTAGTGATTTCCCCGCCCTTCAGGGAGTTAGTTAGACTTGGCAAACTTCTTTTGGGAAAGCAAAGCTATGTGAAATTCGATGGAAACGTCAGCTCTACTCATATCATTGTTGAAAAAATCAACTACCAGTCCTCCATCACCTTAAACGAAATAGGGTGAATACAATTCATATATGATTTAGTGGTAGTCTATAAAACCTACTCACTTACGAAAGAAGTAATGTCATCGATTTCCATAGCAAGATATAAGTTTGCTACATCGACAATCCCAACACAGAATGTGATATGGTCAATGCCTGACCTTCCTGGAAATTCACATCAGCCCCAAGGGCACTCTTGGTAATGTGGCGTGGTTGTTAATGAGTCGAGATTATGCGCTGTACTATCATTGTTCGAGTCCCGCTTGGGGTGTTGATAAGATCTGGGCGAAGTCGAATCTGCACTCCACCCTGGATGAGAACACCTTTTGAGAAAGCAAAGCTATGAAAAATTCGATGCAAGCGTCAGCTCTACTCAAATAATTGTGGGAACAATCAACTACCAGTCTCTTATCACGTTAAACGAAATAGAGTGAATACAAATTCTATATACATATGCTCAAAAATACATATTTGAAAACACAAAACAACTTAGTTTAACAAGTCGAAATGATGTTTCTTTCCTGACTAAAATTTTCCATTTTTTCTATCAGCATCAATTTACGTATCCAACTTAATAAAACACAAATAAAAACTCAAACCACCCTTAATTGTTTAAAATGACGCAAAGAATGTTACTTACGTTTTGCTCAATTGACTGGGCAGAAGGTCTCATGATACCATAAAATTTCACTTAGCCTTAACCCCCAAAGCGCTTTCTTCTCTGATCTGGACCACAGTTTCGACCTTACCTCGATCTCATCATCACCCCCAACAGGATTCGAAATCGGGTCGCGCATGCAAAGTGGAAAGTTAATATTTCGCCATCCAGCGATGAAAACAAGTGGTTCACAGGGTGCATGCGACCTTTGAGTTATTATACAATGTCCACAACTATTTTATTAGCCTTATTAATTCTTATAAAGTATCCTCGTCAAGTAATGGCAAATACCGAGTTGCCTTATCGCAATCAAGTTTTGTTTCATTTCGTTTGACAGCATTTGTTCAGAAAATACATACGGATACCAAACTTTGCTGAGCAAAGCAAGCATATTCGTTGATTTATTTTTAAGCTTTGTAGTATTAAGGAACCAAATTTGCCTAGTAGAACTGTATTTTGGCAGGTTATAACTAAGCAGAACAATAAGCTAAAGAATTTGAGCATAAGAATCAGAATAAGGTGTTTTCACGGCACGTTAAAAGTAGGTGTTAAGAAATATTGATATTGGTTTTGCCGAACATCACTCAGAAGAGAATAAGAGGGATATCGAGTTGCAGGTTGCTCATTCAATTAATGGTCCTTCATCACCTTAATTAAATTGGATAAATACACCTCATATATATGATCTACTGGTAGCCTCGAAAACCTACTTATGAACAAAATTAAGTAGCTTAGTCGATTGCTATAGTAAATACAACTTTGCATCATTGACTATCCCACCACATAATGTTGTATTAAAGGATGCCTGGGCCTCCTCGGAATTCACATCTGCCCTATGGCCTAGGGGAACTAGTGGCAATAGGGTGTAGTGGCTAACATATCTGGATTAGACACTGCATTGTCATGGTTCGAGTCCCGCTAGGGGGGCTGTTAGATCCAGGCGAGGTCGAAACTGCAGTCCACTCTGGATGAGGATATCTATTGAGAAAGCAAGAGTATATGAAATTCAATGGAAAAATAAGACCTAACTGTATCATTGTAGGAAACTCCCATTACCAATCCTTAATCTTATACAAGGGTAAGTTAGGTTGGGAAAACGATGCAGACATTAGATTATATGGAAACATACACGACTATCCCTAAGGAACATACAGAAATCCTGAAATCTAGGCTAAGGTATTTATTGCAACAATGTGTAAGAAACGGAGAATTGGATAGGTGAAAAGTAGACACAGTTCTGCAATGATATGCCAATATATATGCTTAGTCCAACTTATAATATATAATATATGTTCATCCAATTTCGTTTAAGTTGATGAATGACTGGTAGTTGAATGTTCCCACAATTACGGAGTATAACTTAAACTTCCATTGAATTTCACATAGCCTTGTTTTCCCAAAAGGAATCCTCATCCAGGGTGGACTGCAGTTTAGACCTCGCCTAGGTTTTATCAACCCCCACAGGGAGACTTGAACCAAGACACAGCACATTAACCACTAGGTCACATTGCCACGAGTTCCCTTTAGTCACAGGGCAGATCTGAATTTACGGAAGTCCAGGCATTTTCCCATATCAAATTATGGTTTAGGGTTGTCGATGATTCAAACTTATCTTTGCTATAGCATTCAACGATGTTGCCCATTTTTCGTTTATAAGTAGGTCTTCGGGACTACCGGTATATCAGATATATGAAATGCGTTCACTCTATCTCGCATATATGATTAACTGGAATTCTCGAAAACCTACTCAAAAACCGAAAAATTGTGAATAATAAAAGTAACGTGATACATAAAGTTCATGATTTATTTGTCACGAATTAAAGCGAGACATCCATACCTGGAAATTTTCAATAATAAATTATTATTAAGGGGATAATTTAGTAGATTAGCAGAGGATAGAAAATTGAGCGCTACTTACACGCTTTGAGGTAGAGTCTCTGTACACTAAGATTATTGTGGGAGAGGCTACACGGTGTCTGAGATTAACATTAGACGAACATTCAGATATCTTAATAAGTACAAGTTAATGCTAATATCAAATTTAGCGATTGGCTGTGTATATATTGCCTTAAATGGCAAACTGTACGAAAACAGACAGGGCTGAGATATGGGATACCCTACTTTGATGTCGTACGTCATGTGACGGGCGAAAGAATAGCTTATTTTCACCGGAATCTAAGGTGCTTGCTTCGGAAACAGCGACAAGCAGAGGGTTTCAGTAAAGCCCACTGACAGCTGGCCAAGAGAAATCTGCTATCGTCTTTTGATGGGGTCGACCTTCGAATCTCTTCATCACACTTCCACTCGAAAATAAAGGGAGCTCAACAATTATAACCTAGGAGATACCTCAAGACCAAACTTTTTTTCGCATCTGGGATATTGACTGCTTTTAGCTGTTGGATGGCATTTGGCTGTGAGCAGGAGAAAGGATGAGAAGGGAAGAGAAAGAGTGGAAATAAGAGTAGCGTATGCACATGCGCAATGGGACGTGCTTGCATGTAACAACATTTCATGATCAAGAATTGAAATGAGTTAGAGGAGGATGAAGCTGTCCGTTTACGGTCGCATCCACCCTACCCATCATCTACAGCCACTTCCCATGCCATCCGCTGCCAGTTCTTTTTTCTGCGTAAATGTAAGGAAAGCTTAGGATATTCGTATATGGTGGGCTACAAAACTAGCAGTGAATTTTAAGCAATAGCTGTATTGAGCATAGGGCAAC